CACTTTTAAAGCATATCGGGCTTTATTGTTTATTTTGCTCTCCATGAAACCACTAATCACAAACCAAACATCAGTTTGTATCAAATAAGACTTCATTGGGAAAGGATTTGTTAAGGTCATACACGTGGTGAGACTTAAGGTTAATTTCACATCTACTTCTGTATAATCAGGCCTATTTTGTAACCCGCGGGTTCTTCCTCCGACTGGCCACTTAAAAATTGTCACAGATTCTAAATGTTTAGTTTACTCTTTTCATACCGGTTGCCCAATCCATCTGTAGTTGCAGTTATATTGCAATTTACTTATGTAACCAAGTTAAGTGCGTTTAGTTTATGACCTAACTCTAGTCTTCTGTTGTGTAGGAAAAGAGCCATTTAGCCATTCGCAGTTTGAATGCGGGCTCAGGCTTTATTCAGTGTCTCTCTTCACTTACACAGATGTCACGAGACTACAACAATGCTTTGTTTGCTCCATCTTTTTATTAGAGATGAAAAATAATCCAGAGGGCCACAGTGATCCCATTAATTCTGGTGCTAATAACAATTTTGACTCAAATGTGAAACAGGAAAGATGGCATGACTACGTGACTCTGTAGTTTAGCTAAATGCTGATGATAAAGACATGTAATGTTGTTTGTCTATGTTTTCAAATACACGGCGCTGACACGCTAATATTTGCAACTGTCTTGTGGCATGCTCGACTTAAGATGACTCCCCTGCTGGTCCACTGTTCATGTGAACTGTTTTTACATATAAAACATATTGAAAAAACTATAAAAAACATTAAAAAACGGAAACTGCAGAAGTTATAGTTTCATACTGTTTTGTGTGTTTTATCCTTTGATACCCTACTTAGCAAAGTAGGCTTAATCATTCACTGCTGTGTGTAAACAAGGTTAAGTATTAGTCGATGCTTTCCTGTTGGTATCAATACATTTTTCTCATTATAATGAAGTGGAAAATAAACTCTCCATCTCTCTTTCTTTTCGTACTCCTGTGTGCGTGCACAAAATCAGGTCTGCTGTGCTCTCTGTTCCCCCCCAAAAAATGAGCAATTAGTGTTAATGTTGCGTCCAACGTAAAATTGCATCACATCCCCGCCATTACTACCTCACAGTCGCCCGATTTAACAACTTTTATGAGAACATGTGAATATCAACAAAGACGATCTGAAGCTTTGGTGAGTTTTGTTAATATATGACGTATGAAAGTGTTGGATAAAGTCTATATTTGACAGAGTGACGAGAAAATGTTGTTGAAACATTTCACGAATTGTTTAGAAGTTGCTGAAAAAACTTCTGTCTGAGCCAAAGAAGTGTGTCTATAAACAGTCTGATGATGGTAGCAATCGGTGTCAAAACATAGTCAAGCTGGTCATGAACAGAAGTGTGATTTAAAAAAAAACTTTACAAACTGATTCTGTGTGAAGAGAAAACTGAAGCTGTTTGGTTAATCAGAAAATGCTACGAGATGTGAAACTTGTGATTGAACGTCAGCTGCCCCGACTAAACTTTGACTGAGGTCACGTGAGGTCTCAGTAATGTCCAGCCTTACGCAAATGCATTTATCACGCATGAAAATCCATTTTGTCACATGTTGAAGGTCTTTAATGTTAAAACATCTGAGTCTTTATGCTACAATGAGAATCTTATCAGGTTTAAAAGGTCAGTCATAATGTCAGTGTTTTATCATGTAAGAGGAGATGGGGAGTGGCTCGGTGGCCTGAGAGGTCAGGTGAATAATTCAGAGGCTAATTGTTTGGGTCTTTTGGTGCAGCTCTCGGGGCTCAAAGCACAGATACTGTATTGTGTCCTTATGTCATAACACTTTCCCATTCTTGCTTTGTTAATGTCTGTCACCAGTGGGTCTTTTTCAGGTCACTGCTTACGCTTGCATTGTAAATGCACCTCTATCCAAATAACAAGCAAGAAATCTGTTCAGTTTTTTAAGGCTATTAAAGGCACCGTTGTCTCAAGATGGAGGGATGTTGTTTAAAGGTTTTTTGTATTTTTAAAAAGAAAAAATGTAAGTCAGAGAGATGTGATCGTTTTCAGTCATGAGAATGTGATCACAGATTCATGCAGAGCTACTGAGCACAGTGATGTTAATCATTAACTGACAGGAACCTTGAACAAACCAACATATAACCCAGTTTGTTATTTGTTTATTCAACCTATTTCCCGGTCATACTGAATTTTCCTTTTTTTTTTTTTGGTCCGTTGACCACATCGTGACTGACGTTCCGAGGAACAAAGAAATCAGATAAGTGGGAAATTAACAAACAATAGCCAGGAACCGACTCAGGCTGCACTATACAATTAATTACAAAAACAAAAAAAAGTTAGGGTTTTTTTTTTGTGTAGCAACACTAACAAAGTTCTATATCCCATATTGAAATGACTTGTAAATAAAACTGTTAAGGTGCTATTTTCTAGTATTCGCTATGTTTAAAGTTGACGTTATTGTTATTATTTTCTCAGAATTTGCAGACACCAATATTTTCAGATAAGGTGTTTGTGGTTTGGTTGCAGGGAAACAGTGCAATAGCCACCACCCAAGAAGTTGGTCTTGGTTCAGCATCTTCTGGTTCCTTTTTTTTCCTTTTCTTTAAAAAAAAAATTCAAATACAGCCCAGATAATTAAATACACAAAATATTATTAAAACATATTGATAGTAAAATCGAT